CCATTAAGTATTAGATTAAGATTTTAGTATTAACCAGATTAAGATAGCACATTTACACACGCACACACACATAGATCTCCAGTTATAAGGACGCCGGCCACTTCTAATCACTCACAGTGATTGTGCGTGTATTGTTCCCGTTGGTTTTGGACAGATGATCACAAGCGAGTGTAAAGACTACGCAGAGATTCTTACAAAAGCACGGGAACCTAGGACAGTGTTTTATATTTAAAAAATTAATTAAAAAAAAACAGTTGTTACATTAAAATCTTTTTATTTTTTTCGGTCACCTTTATCGGATTCAACAGATCATTTGCCGCCCGAAGGAGAAAGGTAATCCAATTTATAATCAACTTATACGTGTGAATCAATTTTATATAATTAGGCTGACCCTCCCCTCTATATTTATTTTACTACAATATATTATCAAAGAGGAATGACGGCTCCAGTATCACGACAAAACGACACGGGGGGGAGGGGTGGGGTAGTAGACCACCGAGAGTTAACGATGTTCAGACGAGAAAACTAAAGAATAAGAAAAAAATAATAAGAATAAAACGCAAAGAAAAGAAAACGAGTAATAAGTGCGGAGTGAATAATTTATCAAATTAGACGTGTATTGTGACGGAGCGAACCGAGGTGACGGTGATAGTGTGACGACCGGCGAAATGTAGGGGTAGGTCCCCTCATACATTGTATAGGTACCTACTCGGAATGAAAGACTTTTTTTTTTTTTTAATTTTCCAAATGCAAAAGAAACACTTTTTTTGGCGGCGCAAACACTGGTAAAATATTCCGTTTTCGATTCTCCTCGGTTTACAATATTTAAACCTTTTGCCGAAGCGTACCGCATTTCCATATTTTATGTTATAGGCCCCGCGGGGAAGGGTATGGGAGAACAGACGAAAACCGGAAGAGCCGGACTATATTATAATGACATGATTGTATGGGCCGACAGATAGTCATAAAAAAAAAAAAAAAAAAATCCCCTCTCAGACCGTACATAATTTCGTCGTTATAATAATAACAATAAATAATAATACAGTCGTGTACCACCGATTCATCTGGTGGTCGTTCCCTTATCGCCATCACCCTATCACCCATCCACTGATCCACCGCAGACGGACACTTACGGGGTTTTTTTTTCCTCTATTGTAATGTCCCCGACCGTAATCGACCGACTGGTACGTCCGTACGTTACAGTCCAGTACAAACACCAATCCGTCAAATGACTCACGGTTGAACATCGATTGCAGATCATTTTTAAAAATTGTATTCATATTTCGATTTTTAAATTATTGTTTTAATTAAAAACCGTATGAAAAATGAGAAGGCGATAACTGCGTACCTATTAAAATGTAATAATTCATAATCCGGTCATAAAAATATTGCACGACTAAAAACATGAATTGTTAAATACAAACTAATTGAATATTATCATTCAGAGCATTACGGCTAGACAGTTATATCGATTTAAAACGTTTTAAATTAGGTAATTTTATTCAAACTTTTAACTCGGTTAATTTCCGTATACATTTATGTAATGTTTATAGACAAGTAACGAATCAGTTATCCAATTAAATTATTAAAGTTGATTTCAATTTGTTTTAGTTGTAACGCTATTCAAATAGATACCGACGGAGGATAGTATTTATTTTTTTTTTGTTTTTACTTAATAATGCGAGTGGAGTAAGTTCTGTTATTAAAAAAAAAAAAGTTTATAATTCGATTACCTTCGAATAAACAACTTGTAGTGTATACAATTGATGATACTTATCTTCAAAAAATGTCAAACCTACAGTTCTAATAATGTTAATGATTATAACAATATTCCCCCAAAAAAAAAGAAAAAAAAGAACTCAACTCGATTAAATAACAAGTTAATTGAGTGTTTTCAGTAACTATTGACTCAAACTATTATAAATTTATTGTGATGATTATTATTTACTAAGTTTCTTTCGGTTGAATATTCCCGGGCGAGTCATGCTGTTGGGGCATTTTTTATGTAACATCCGTGGAGTGGCCACTCCGCGCTATCGTTTAAAAGAAGCTCCACGAGCAGACAGACCAAACGTTTAGTCTTTCCTTCCCGGTCCTACTGTCCCTTGTCGGTGAGTGTGTTTACTATAGTAAATCATCGAGTAATATAGAGATGCTGATCGATTTCGAATTGAGGCGAAGAGGTCTACGCTTCCAGTGTGACCGGATAACAAAGAACAAAACTATTGTTTAATTTTGTTTTACACAAAATAACATAAACATAATAAGGTACAAGGTAATTGTTGAATATATTTTGCATTTTAATTTTAATTTATTTTACTAATAATTGGTAATTACAGATGATCCACTAGCAATATTAAGTTAGTAAGCTTATTGAGTTGATAATTTATTTATTGATTACAGTTTTACGCTAGTATATCACTTGTCTTATCAATCAGGCGTAGGTCTTCGCTATCTAGTGGAGATCTGGATCGTAAAATGACACACAACCGGGGTGAACGACCTAACACATTTGTCTACACACCAGTTGTATTGCCGAGATACGACAGAGCATCTCTATATTACTCAATGTAGTAAATACGATATTTCATTACGAATATTCTACCAAGTCAATAATTTTCCATTGATTTTCTAGATGATTAGCAGTGAGCGAAATCGTACTCTATACTCTATTCTCTACTCATTGGCTCTGTGTCTTGATCGACTGTGCCGGGTAGAACCTTTTTAAAAATGTCCCGGCAGTACTTGATACGGAATTAACATAATACCTCATGTTGTATAATATTTGATGCGGTCATGTACACGATTCACAGTTCTTCACGTAAATGTACATGTGTTTACGACAACAACGAATTATACATATTATTATAATTTTATGTTCTCGTGCGCGAAACTTGTGTTCGTAAACGCAAACGTCCATATTATTATTATATGCCACGGATTTTATATTTTATATTTGTCATCCGGTCATCATCGCACGCCAAGTACACGATTGCCAACCGTCACCGGCGCCGCCGCTCCTTTCGACTGTTATTATTCGCGGCTGTCACGTCCGGTGCACCACTGCAGTATAATATTTACTGAGCAAAAACAAAAAAAAAACTAATGTAATATTATAAACCGGGGAGAAAAAAAAAACGGTTCGTGAAAAACAAATTATAACTGCGGTTTGGTGTACTTTTCATTTTTTTTTTTCTTTTTGCAATCAGATTAAAATTTCAAATTCGTTTTCGTGCTCTATACACAAGAAAAATAAATAAATAAATAATAATAATTATAATAAAAACGGTATTTTTGAACATAATAATATTATAATATATACGGGTACTCTCCATTCTTTATATTGTTATGACTTGGAAATTTTCAACAAATTATCGGAAATTTTTCAAACCCAAAAGTTTTAACGATTAGTTTTGCAAAGTTTTTTTTTTTTTATTATACAATTTAAACATTAATAGTTGTTCGGTGTTTCAAATTCGTATTGCTGTTCATTATTTCGGATACATTCAGAATTTAAATCGGGTTTGGTTTTTTCCTCACCAATATTTTACAAACAACGATATCGAAGAAAAGTTTTGTTCAAACATAATATACAAATCGCTATATTTACCCGTGTTTAATTACGATAAAATAATGTTTTTCCAAGCACAAACGAAATCCCCGGATTTGAATCAAAAATGTTGAATGAGCGACTGGATCGGAGACATGGACCCGTTTTTCATTTCGATTAAAATGTCATTTGAGTAACTCTGATTGAAATATTAGTTTTTAGATAGGCATACTCGCATTTTAATAAAATATAGTCGTTTGCAAAGTTAATATGTACGTGCAAAGCTTGGGAACATTCGAGGACAAATTCCGGAGAAAAATATAATTACCTATAACAGTGGCTGTGCCCGTGTCCATTGTCCTAGGATGTCTTTTTTTTTTTTTATACTTTTTAAGATAACATAAAGTTGTTGAAAGTCGTTGTTGTTTTAAATAACATTCGGCGAATAAAAAATGTTTTAGTTTTTCGTATTCGTTTATTATTCGGAAATAGGACGAATCAGTGTAAATACCTGCGGCATTTTTAACAATGACAATCAATAAACCGTTTCACGCCGTAAGCATGCAGTATAAATAAAATGCCGAGTAAAAATCTCGACATGGTTGAAACTCCTACCCGAAAAATCCACCGATAACAGAACGTCGTTAAAATTTCGTCAAGTGTCCCGGATTCTCGTATAAATTATTTGCTTAAGCGTTCCGACTCAATATATGTATACTCTAAGTTATAAATGTAATTCGGTGATATTATCGAAGGGGCTTTCAACCGTCGGGGTTTTGACCCTATTGCGATTTTAACTTCGGGATTTCGAACGCCTCTCCTTTCGGCAATTTTCGTCCTTCGGGGAACTTTAGGTTCGACGCTTTTCCCCGAGCGTCTGCTCCGCGATGGTTTTCATTATTATTATCGTTGTCGTACACGCCCGAGTACAAGGTCGGGGACGTTCCGCTCCGGTGATTTTACATAATACATATTTTAACTACCGTATTCGCTTAATTCACGGCGTCTAATAATAATACTGCCGCTATTGCTATGTACATCGGCTATCCTCTATTTGCTCGTTTTTCGAACATTATACCGTCCGTCGATTCGCCGTATAATAATATGATAATACATCGAACTCGGGTACATCGCACGAGCATTCTGCACAGATTTACCCTCGATTAAATGCAGTAGTATTGTTACGGATGTTATTAAACCCGAACGGCAATAGCGGAATTCTCCGGTTACAATATTCACGACATTTGCTTTGAATTTTGTTTAGCCCCACTTAATTTCGTTATTCGTAATACCTCCACCAGACTTACGTAGATTGCAACACACAGAAAGATTAATCCGAAAAATCATAAAACATCCTGAGATCCCTCTACATGACGACTTCACTGTACACCCTCCTAAAAGATTGAAATCGAAACACCCGATATGGGACTAGGAACCAACAAAAGATACAATGGTGGAAATCTGGAAGAAACGATGGAAAAATTCTGAAGTACGGAACGTTTCACCGATAAACAACCCAGAACTGAAAGTCCCAGGTTTTGATCTCCCGAGGGCGTTATGGACAACACTAAACAGAGCAAGCACAGAACAAGGGAAATGCAACTACCTAATGCACAAATGGGGAAAGGTAGAATCCCCACTCTGTGCATGCGGAATGTATCAAACGATACGCCATATCGTTGATAACTATCGCCCACAAACATATTTTGAAGGAGGACTGGAGAAACTTCATAAAGCAGAGGAGGATACAGTGAAATGGATGGAGAACCTGAAGTTAAGACTGTAAGCTAACACTTCAAAAGTTACCAATGTTGCCTGTAAACCTTTAACTATAGAGTCATAGTATTAGTTTGTTTGTTATTTAATCTCATAGTCTATCTTGTTTTTAATCTTGATCATTCTACTATATTTGTACCTTATTTTTATTTTATCTTTATAATCCGATAATGTCATATGCAAAATAAATAAAATAAATTTCGTTATTCCCGGCGTCGTGAGGAATTCTATTTTCTGATTGGCTTCCTTGAGGTGGTCCGTGTTACTAACGAACATAAATAGTAATGCCAATTGAGAATGACAGTATAGTAAAATTTTGCACATTGTATGTCCGCCGTACAATAAATAATAAATAATAATAATAAATTGTTTATATTTTGTTTATTTAATTATTTATTATTGATTTAGTAGATTTTATTTCTGTAAGTGATTCACACGGTGCCGTCCATAGAGTACACCACGAATAGAAATGTGGCGAGAATTGTATTGGTTTTAGCATGATGTAATTTTTTTTCTGTTGACTACTATCCCACCAGAAATTTCGCTCCGATTTACAACGATAGCACTTCTTCTGGAAGAAAATCGGATCGAGGCGATAATTTAAAGAGGTAATTTTTTTTTTTCCTATGAGTTTTCCCAATAAACGGGAAGACAGGTAGAATATTAAACAAATATCATTAAAGCAAATACATAATGCGTGTGTTATTATTTGTCATAATACGACTTATATATATATATTGTTGACAAAGCAACACTATCAACCGAACTTCTCTAAAAAACGTTTTTTCGTTAGCAACGGTCGACCGTTGCGTACAGACCCACATTGAATTTTCCCTTTACTATATTTCCATTTTCTCACCTACAACAGTGGCTCACTCACGTGAAAAGTGTGTCTGTTTTTTGTTTTTAGAACGAATTTACATCTACACATTATCTACACATTGTTTATCTTTGCTCGATAAAGCGAATGCAACTGTTTGAAATAGAAAAAAATAATAAATTAGCTCAAACAAAACGTGTGTACCGAAAATAATGTGGATAACATAATACAAATTCGAAAAATTGTCCGAGAAAAAAAAACTTAAACCGAAATTATTATACGGATTCCTGTTTAAACCGCATTATTCTATGGCGGTCACGTGATGCATATCCATATCGCTCGTGAAACGTTCAAATATATATAATATTTATTATAGTGTACATTACCTCTTGGTAAATGCACACAATTTTCAGTTCGCGATCAATTTATTTTAATTATTTCGCGTCACGTGAGACCGTGGCGGTAACCTATCGCGAAACGCGTAGTGCGATGCGAATAACGGGCAAAAACAACATAACATGTTTCCATGTTTATTATATCGCGTATTGTATATGTTGTAGGCGGTTGTATGTGGTATGCTTTTACGAGGAAATACACCTCGGTGGTTAGGTTAGGTTAGGTTTGCTTATTTTTATATGCATAAATATATTCGTAATCGCAAGGTTTTTATGATAATAAGATATATATATATTTTTTAATTTTATCGGTAAATATATTATATTATATTAGGTACCCGTAGTAAAGAAAAAAAAAACGTGTACTTTAAAGGCACGATATTCTTTCCGAACATTTATTACTTATATTTCAACTAAATTAAGTCATTAAAAACCTTTAGAAATTGCGCGATTAAAAAAAAAAAAAAAAAAACGTAGGTGTTGCACAGGAGTGTACCGGCAATTATTATCGTGATAATTTTCACGAGAAGCATTTTAATGCCTGCACATAAATTAGTATAGACACGGAACTTGACGCATTTGCGTCTTATTTTTTCATTCGAAGTTCGTCTTTATTGGATGATTTTATTTTCGTAATTATTTTAGATTCTGAGTAGAACGAAGAAACCTATGGTTTTACAAAGATCTGTGCACGAATTTCCTACCACAGATCTTGCACCAGTTTTAATTGTAACACTTATTCTGAAAGGAAATCCATCTGGACAACACGGAGGATAAACGGAAAAGTCAGTACAATAATAAACAAATATTATCAAAGAAAATATATAACGCCAATTTAATTATTTTTTACTATAAAATGGCATGTATACATATTGTTGACGAAGCATTACTATCAAATGAACTCCACTTGGAATCGTTTTTTCGTAATCAATAATTTATCATTACTTACAGATATACATTAAATTATCTATAACAGTGGCTGCATTCGTCCCCATTGTCATAGGGCACGTATTTTTTTTTAATGGACATAGCATGCACGGAATAACAATAATCTTATTAAGTCATTAATATAAATTAAATATTTATTAAAAAATTCCAAATGGTTCAAACGTAGTTGGTTAAATATTGATCAAATATTTTAAAATGTTAAATCAAAAATCAAATATTTATTAATCTTTAACATTATTTTTTAAACATTTATTTTACATAAAATAATTATGTGTATGCTATTTTGCTCACAGATTTTTTTGGCGTTTTTTTGTTGATATATTTGTAAATAGTTCATTTTTGAATATTTGACCACGTCAAGTATAGGCTAATTTAACACTTAAGTGTTCTGGGAAAATTTCTACCGCTATATTTAACCGATTTACAATAAAAAACCAAAATCGAAAATAACAAAAATTAATTATGTTGTAAACTTTTCGTGATTTCTTACGTATTTTTCTCTGTCCTACCCAATTCCCTTGAGCAATTGTTACAGAATCAAAACAAGACGTCTTTATTATAAATTAGATCCACAATGCAACAAAAAAGTAATTTCGTCATTATTCGATTAGACAAAATTTCTAGTAGAAAAATTGTATTGTTTACAGAAAGGGTAAAAAAAACACACACATCCTAATAAAACCAATACATTTTTAGAATTAAAATACCTAATAGAGAGTATTGGTATCAAAATTTTAATTTTGAAACGGAAACAAACTCGGAAAATATACTCGGCCAGTCGACAACTATTCAGTAAGTACTATGCATCCGACATTGAAGGATGTTTCGATACGACGACGACGATGCAGGTTATTGTAGAGTTGAAGCAAATGTCTGGCATTTTTTCGTGACCGTGTGCCGTGTAAACATAACGGACGAAAGATGCAATTATGTTTAATTGTACACGGAATTTTAACGGAATCGTAAACTATTGCGAAGTTGAGCGTGCTAACTTTGCGGTGACAAACCCCGTAGTCTGAAGTGCAGAAAATCGTCGAGGAAAAGCGTCGTCGTAGGATTACTTTTCTCTTTTCACATCGCATTAATGTAACGTTTTAGATTACGAGCGGAGCGAGAAAGCTATTGAATTTACAACGATGTTTTTTTTTTTTTTAATTCCTTCCCTTCTTCCCCCTCCCTTCTATACCGGCGTGATGTGGATATTTCTTTGGACACAATGCGAGTCTTGCGAAGATATTATATTATACACAAAGCCGTACGCCTCGCTTGTTATAAATTACGGACAAACCCGTGGAAAATACGGTAAAAGCATTTTCAACCAAATTTATATTTCCGGTACGCGTATATAAGTAAGTATTTTATTATAATATTACTGCGTTCGAATACATTAAAATAACCATCAATAGATTTCCAAAAAGAATTTTTAAAAAAATACACGCGGTAGGATATATTTAATTTTTGTTATTTTTTCGGATACGACGTTTTGTTAGACTGTTATATTTTGAATTTTAATAATTATTTAAAATTTAGAATTCCGTAACGATTAGATTCAACTCGGTACCTCTAAAAAACGAGTTTGATTCAATTATATGGAGTTGAATTCTACGGGTCTATTAGATCAAAGTCGGTTCTCGAGACGGGAGAAAAGTCAAAAACAGTTACTCTTCGGGCGGTACGAAAACCATCACAAAAGGTTTTAAAACGTTTCGAATTTAATTCCGTTTAAATTTTGTATTTCTCGTTAGGAATTTTAAATGTTTTTAAAAATATTATATTTGAAAAGCTTAACGAACTGTTTACATCAGTTATTGTTCCATAACGATTACCTGTGCGCAATTTAGCGTTCAAAATTAATAGTGCGAGAAATTTGACTGTGACCGCACGATACGATTACACGGTAAAGAACATGTAGAAACCGCAGTAGCAACGGACCGGTGCCACTAAACTGTCTAAACCTAACCTAACCAAAAATGTCCACCGAATTATTTCCCGGGCCCGTGAACTCCGTCCGGACATTTCTGCAGTGACAACAGTGCGTTGTCTCGGGACGAAATGAAAAATAAATAACGTTCGCGCCCTCTGTTTTCATAAAAAAAAATACACAGCGATATTGTTACTTCGGGATTGCGAAATAGCGTATTTTTTTATTTAAACGGTGGGCTGTTGTGATATAATTACATTGTCACTATCGCGATGGAAATACATCAGGCGCGGACGGAATATTAATGTCATTGGCTTTTATAACAGTCCCTCGATTGTGACGTTTGAATGTTGCCAATTTAAGATTTAAAAGAGAATAATATAAATGACGGCAACGGCAACGACGACTATCAGAGTATAATAAATCTTTAGTGGTGGGTTTATTACGCACTTACCAACCTGTTCTTCTTCCGAAAATGCGTGTGTAATAATTATTATCATAATATACAACGTTTGGGTGAAAAATCCGTCGTGAATGCCAACCATTGTGGCGGGTCTGGCGTAGCGAAATAAAATAAATTATCATAATATTGTGGCTTTTTCGTTGGTTTTTATTTCGTTCGAATTTCACCCGAAAAACAATACCGTCCCATTTCGTTATAGACGACTATTTGCGGTCATTTTTTATCGGGTCCCACCGGAACGAACGAGGTCATACTCGCGGGAATTTGCAACGCGATTTCGTAGGTACTTGAAATTCGGACGGAAAATGTACGTTTGCTTTTTCTAAACGTGGTAAAATTTTCAAAAAATTAAAGCCATTTTTGGGAAATTAATAAACATTTTACTTATGTGGGTTTTATACGCAATTTTTATTTGATAAGTAGTGCACATTTAACAGGAGGTTCATTGAATGTCTAACTTTGA